ATGTAAATATAGCGCAAACAAGACAGTTCAACAAAATTCTCAAGCAATATCATTCAGACGATTGCCGCTATGAGAAGCAATCCACCGTTCGGATTGTCTCTCAACAAACAATCTTTACACTATTGCTCAGCATCAGTTCAGTACTCCTTCCGTAAGGTGCAAGTCAAACGAAATGCAAACGATAATCTTCGATATTCTCTTCTCATTGCATTTTCTCAATCTCCGAAATTCTCAATCTAACGATGAAAACAAATTAGACTTATCTGTAGACCATGAAAAAACCATCACATTATACATTATCCCATCCCACCGCAAACAACCTCACCTGTAGGTAGTTCCCTCTTCATCCTACTGATAATTCTTCACTAGCAGATTACATACGATCCTGATTTTATCACTGAATGATCGTCATGCATCTCTCACTTCTATCACCGAAACAACCGATATTATTGCTCCAACTCAGAGACAAACAATTACACAATATCGGACAAATACATGCAAACGAATAAATATAGGCATATCTATCTCACTCAATCCGCATCCTGAGGAACCATCGCTCAGCAGGATGCGACATAGTAACCGGAATGAAAAAAACGGACTGTTTCGTCGTTTGACCGGGTTCAACAATCCATTTCAGACAATGATACAAATGATTTCACCGGTTCTCTACCACAATTTGTTAAAATCCACACATACACACACAAAAAAAAAACTTTTCGCAAGTGAATCGAAATTTGCCAACGAATTTACTGATATATTCTTAAACTATTTACAGATTTCGATTCACCTGTTGAATATTACACTATATGTAAGACAAATACATAAATTACAGAATAAAATCTCAATTGAACAATGGCAAAAATCAAAATCAAATACAAAATGAAGAATCACGCAACAAATACTCACACACTAATCAACACATTTCAAAATCGAATGCGGCACGTGAATATGCTTCTGATATTTCAAAATGAAAGAATATTATTGGCAAGATCACCGAAGGCTTTTAGTTCATGAAATATGTACAACAAATCCGGGAACATATCACAATTTTTAAATGACAAAAATAAATCACACGGCAGTTAATACATTCACACAAAACCTAGAAGGCAGTAACTATTAATATTAACACTAATTAATAATGTTACCTATAATGCAGCAAAACTCTACGTCAATACCACCTTACAATTCTGCGTTATCACGACGGTTCACGATGTGCCCAATACGTCTCTGAACTCATTTCATAAAGTCGCGATATTGTTCTGTCGCACGCAAATAATTCCTCATGTCCAGAGAATACATTCGCTTTTGATTCTTCCTGCAAAAAGGTTATCACCACCTTCAATCAGCAAAAACATTCACCGTAATGATCAATCAGTTCGTTAAATGTATAATGTTAAAAGCCTAACAATAAGCGAACAATAAAACACATCAAAACATCATTTACTCATCAACGAATTAACATCGTTTAAGCCACAGTGTGAAAAATCGCAATTGACGTTTAAACAACAATTCGAGACAACACAATTGAAAAGATGATTTGTAAGAGAAACATTATATTAACTGACTTGTCCTTCTTTCAGCGATAGATCGTCCATAAGAATGCGTTGTTCTGACGACAGGCCTACATCATCCGAATTCAGTTGTAGAATACTTTCGATTCGTGCCTCTGCGGAGCATATCAATCGAACCTATTCGTAGCAAAGATTAACAGTGAACAAAACGAAACAATCAAAAAAAAAANATCTAAGTCTTCACAACATAAATTTTAAAAGAAACAAACCTTTTGATCGTAAAACGTATCCACCAGTGTGATGAAACGTCGTGCCTCACTACTTTGATCGTGCGTCATGATGGGAATATCACGAAGAATCACTGTGTGAAACGCTTGCGATAGCACCAAATAATCCTGCGATCCACACGGTCGTACACAAACCTTCAATCATGAACTTTTGATGGTTTCAGTGCAATTTTCTCCAAAAATCACTATCACTTGAAGTTGCTCAAAAAGTTTCGCGCAATGATTTAAATTCCCGCGATCAATGATGATTTCTTATAAAATCACAAAAATAAACACAATCACTCGATCAATTCATACATAAACAACCACCCATTCGAATCAAAACATTCCATTCAATCTACATTTAATATTCGAAACGAACTTGATATGAGTTGATACAAACTATCACTTAACTATTTACATAGTATCTATTTTCCTAACCGTTCTCTTTTCAACTATTATCACAAAATGGCAACTAACATCATGGAATGGTATATCAGCTACACCACCGCAACATCGTTTCACGCAAATGTTTCGGCCGAATACATTCAAAGTCCTCGATCGTATTACTGAAAAATACCCATCAGTCGTCACTTAATCACATTCATGAAAGTTAATCCAATACAAATCCAATTTCAACAACAACAACATTTTTCTGATGACCCATCGTTCATTTCCTCAAACAATCCCCCAATCAACGATTTTACCTCTGATAACTTAGCTCTCACTTACTTTCGTTTGAATCATTACGACTGCAATTTAATTACCGATACGATTGCAATTTAACTTCCACGAAAAACAACTCAAAAAACACTAACAATCATTTTCGCGTGCAGCCAATCTTGTGAACAACTCATCCACTGCGTCCTCTACCTCAGGCCCATCATTTACGAAATACGACTGCAATAAAGAATTGCTACTCCAACGAATATATTCGCGAAACAATCAAACGAAAAAAGACACATTTCTAAAAACACACCACAATCATATCTATCAATCACAACAAATCAAGTAATTCTCACAAGTGAAACAAATGAGCTGCTTACTTTATGCTTCCCAACGACACTCCTGCGATAGTCAATGCCCGAGTCGAGACACACTGTTGAACATTTCACTTGAACCAGATCAATGAACGGCAAAAATTGATGACGTTGTAGACCATTTTTGTACAAATCACGTGGATGTCTGTAATGAGATTACTTCATTCCTTATCAGTATCTCATTCCTTCACATCATATCGACAACTTTCGTACCCCTCCACCCCTCCAGAATGCATCGGGTGATGGATGTTACTTTCCATGGACCGTTCTATTCGGAGATATCGCTGACTAATAAGTGAACTAGTACTATCAAAACGCATAAAAAAGGCTTCCGCAATCCAAAACATTATTCAAATAAATAAATTCTCAACGAAATCAATGCGTACCTATTCGACGTACAAACTACCACAATGCCTTTGTTAAACAGTTCACTGAATAGTCGCATCAGGATCATTGCATCGGCTATATCTGTCACCTGAATTCAGTGCATTCAATACATCACTCTAATTATTTTCATATGCATTAATCAATCACCCTCATACCATCAATACCTTCATTCCATAACTGAACTTGATTGTCTTATGAAGATTTATCTGATAAATTCAAGCATTTTCTGGCAATATGAAAAAAGAAACACAAGCGCTCTGAGAAGCAATAAAACAACTGACCTGAAATTCATCGAAACAAAGTAAAACGGATTTTTCGAAAATTTTCTTCGCAATCTCTGGAACTAGATCAACGATTGGTTCACGTGTCAACGAGCGATATGGCATAGCCAACTTCTGCTCGTGCATTTCTACAACAATGCAAAAATCTAACTGAGCAAGTCTTTGATGTATTGAGGAAAAAATTGAACATTTTTCCGAAAAAAAAAATGACACAAAATATTTTCACAAAGATTTGTGAACGTTGTGAAGACAATTCAAATGTGTATTATCCAAATTCTTGTTGAAACTTCATTAAATGGAATAAACAAAAATAGAATATATCAGGGCACTCATTCAAGAAGTCAACGCATTCTCACCTTTATGAAAATCGTTCATGAACTCATGAAAATGTACGCGGAACTTTTTCTTCAGCGTACATCGCTCAAAAAAGAGGTCCATCAGCATTGTTTTACCACATCCTTGAACAGGCGAATTTCAATATTTACAAACGTCTCGTTCTTATTTAATGGCATGCCCGCTTATTCAAGTCAACCTAACAATTTTCGCTATACTCCTGAAGAAGTGCATACAATAAATATCTTTACAAAGGATCGTGTCACATTCCAGCGTTCAATATCCACAACTTCAAGTCTCTGACATTCAAATACTATCAGTGATTAATAAAAAATTCAATATTACCAACACTTCCATACAGGTATATTCCTTTTGGCGGTTTCACCTCTCGTTCTTGTCCATAAAGAATTTTCGACAGCCATCCATTGTCGGTGTTTTCTGGGTGGTAATGTGACAGCTGTTGCAGTAACTCATCGAGTTGATCGGTCAATCTCAACTGAAACATGCNCGAAGGGAATTGTATTTCGATGGAAAGCTCGAATCTTTCCACTTCCAATAGCTCGTTTACAACAAACCAGCTGAAACACACTGAATGTGATAGTAAAATTAACCTGAAATTCGTCTAGTTTCAGCAGTCCATCATCCACTTTTCTCAAGTAGGCATTACGAACGACCAAATTCCTCCAGGGCTCATCCGATACTGGAGCAGTTGCCACTGCTGCGGCATTTGCTTGAAATTGACGTCGAAATACTACAAATGATAACATATTTCAAGTAACAACAATTCGATGATGATTAATAATGACTGTTTATCTTGAAATTTTAGCAACATCAAACAAATAAGAATGAAGAGATCGGATAGATAAGAAAAGCTGAACTCACTGGTTCTCCAATGAAGACGGTGATAAGCATGATGAGAATTAAAAAGTCTTCGCAACGAGTTACTCGAGTTGAGCATTTTCATTCCTCCATCTAAATGCACTTATCGATTTACACACGTAATGTCACACTTGCAATCCAGTTTTTCACTTTACGCACGTAACACTCAAATTATGAAATGATATGAGGTAATCCATTTCCAAACCTTTATCATATAAAACTATCCAAAACGAGAAAACACGACGCAAAACGTACTGATCAAATGCGAAAAAGTTGAGCGGAATCTAACGATCTCAACCTTTCCAAACGGTTATTTTCAGATAAGCAACATTCAAATGAGGATTTGTGCGTTTCAGGATGGACCATGCTCTAAGCGCTCTCCAGAGTATTCCAGTACGATGAGGAAGAATTTCTCTCGGGAAACGACAGAAAAACTTATCATTTGACAAACTGATCAAAAAAAA